GGGTTATCTGGCTATCAGGGAAACCTCTAAATCATACAGTGAGTCACATTTCCAACTCAAGCATAAGAGCCTCCTCTGCTAGCCTCCCTTGATTCTTCCAAATCCCATCACCCACTAAATACACCCAATGCCATCAAAGGCACACTGCAAAACAACTCTTAGTTTTCATGTGGTGCCTAAAGCTGCAATGTCATTCACCATCCTGAGAAGAGGCTGGGGTCTCTGCTGCCTGCCTCACTGCACTCCAAACTGAGCGCAAGTGTGAGTCACGGTTTGAAGCCCAGGCTGCAGCTTCCCCCCTCCCCAGATGGGGCTGGGTGGAAGGGGATCCAGCCTGCAGGGGGTGGCCCAGCTCCTTGGGGGAAAGTAGATCCTGGAAAGCAGTAGGCTTGGTTCCCATTCCAGTTCTGCCAATCCTTCTGCTGTCATGCCCCCCTCACTTATATACCAGCTCAACCAGGAACTTCTACCACTGCCAAGAGACAAGGGTGCCTGGGTTCTCTCTGCATTACTCTCTTCCTCTCTGGAAAGCCCTGTCCTCCCAGGCACAGGTAGTTCAGGCCCACTCAGGAGAAGGTTCCTAGGAGGGACTTCCCAGGCCATATTACCATTCACCTAGATCATGTCAAGCAAGCTCTCACTGAAGAAAACCAGTCTGATTGTTCCCAGCTCTGAAGAGCAAACAGCCAGCTACAATGAAGGACAGCTACTGCTGGTGGTTTCTCCAAGCCAAAGACCAGAAAACCACATGTTGAATCCAAAATCACAAGTGTATTCTATTTTTAAAATATATTTTTACTGATTTTTAGAGAGAGGAAGGGGGAGGGAGAGAAATATCAATGTGAGAGTAAAACATTGATCAGCTGCCTCCTGCATGCCTCCTACTGGGGATTAAGCCCGCAACCCGGGCATGTGCCCTGACCAGGAATCAAACCTGCAACCTTTTGGTGCACTGGAAGATGCCCAACCGAGCTACACCAACCAGGGGCAAAGTCACAACTGTACTCTAAAGACAGCCAATGGGCCATCTCAGGCCCAAGAATATCACAGGTCCAGAAATCAAGGGGGAAATCAGGCCCAGCTAGAGTGTCAAAGCAGGGTCTGCTGGGGGAAGTGATCTCCACAAAAACAGAAAGGGAAGGAGGACTTGTCTTTTGCCCTCAGGCTGCAGCAGCACTGTGTACTACCCTGAACCAATGCAGGTGGAGCGCATCCAAGGTGTGTGTACAAGGGAGTAGAGGCTTGGAGAAGTGTGAGCTGTGGGGCACCACTGAGGGGAAAACTAGGGCGGGGCCTGGACAGGCAGATCAAGCCCAGATCTCTCCAGAAAGCAGAG